GTGAGACACGAATTCAACAGAAAACCATGATGTTGGCCAGTTAAGGATTTGTCAGTGGGAAGAGAATATCTGAATACGCAAAATACATAGACACTCCACAAGCAGTCTGCATGTGAAGTATTTTTTAAACCAAAAATCGCTTCCCCAGGAGCTTCCTCTTCTTGCTTGATCAATGATCCTGCAAGGCCAATCATTTTTAATTTAATACTTCTGGGAACTGAGGGGGAAAAATCCCCTCATCAAACAGGCACAGTTGGCAAGCATCGAGTGCTAGCATTTGGCATCATTTATTACTGCTGTTTATGATGATATAAATTAGTTTATACTGATATAATTAATAACCCTAAATTTAGGTGTAATAAATAGCAATACTTATCTAGAACTGCGGTGCCTGGAGAAGTCCAGCCAAAACCACAAAGCTGGTTGACTACCATGTTGTGACTGTGAGCGCACCAGTGGGAGAGCCAGGTGTGTGTGTGTGTGTGTAGGTGGCACGCAGGTCTGAGCAGATGCTGGGGAACAGCTGCACGAACAGGCTGCTGGCAGGAGGATGCACAGCAGGTGCCCGCAGAAGACAGCACACAAGCACATCACAAGTTAGGAAGCAACTGCACAGGCACACGTAAGCGCACACGCAACTCGATGCTTAAATGTGTGATAATGAGTTTATGTGGGACGGTGCGGACAGTAGACAGTGTTGTGTTTCGTCATAAAACCCTCTTTTAGTTCTGCCGTAATTAAGGTTTTTACAAGTTCCCTTCCTGAACCCTGCTTTCAGGATTTTACATAACTGCGACTATAATAGATCTCGTTTTGAGATGCAAAGATTTCACTTGAACAGATGAACTTTTTTTTAAAGCAATCCAAAAAGTTTCACCAAAAGCTACTCTGCAACATTCCTCTTAAACCTACATAGTTTTGCGAGAACAGTATTTTCCACATTCTACAGGTTAAAAACAAGCTTAATAGTTAAACTGTAGCAGATCTAGATTGAAGAGAAAATGCTTTGAATAGACACAGTTCAGCCTTCATTTCAAACTGCTCAAAGGTTATGGTATGTCATTATCTCATTCTCCAAGGAAGCAAACCCAGCAAAAAGGAAGGTGCAACGACCAAGGTCACATAATCCATCGGTAGTGGAGCCAGGAGCAACGTGCGCATCTCTCACTCACCCACTGCATTTTGTATCGCTTTCCTAATGAAAGTGGTACTCTTATGCATGGATTCCCCAACGCTTAATAGAGATTAATTCCTTTTAAAGCTTTCCCATTTTACTATAACCTAGTTTAAAAAGGGGATAGAGGTACGAGTGAAGGTAGTGAGCCATAAGACCAACCAGAAGTTTCTTCTGATGCTTACAGAATAACTTCTGTAAAATAAATTCAGCCTGCAAGGACACTTTCTGTTAAGTAGTTTAACTTGGCTGTCACTTCAGACCAACTTACACTGCTGGCATTGGAGATTAAGACCGTTTTTTCCTTCTAAATTATATCAAAATAAACAAAATTAAAACATACAAATAACTATCAGGTCAGACCACAGGTCTATGAGAGGCAGCATCCCATCATCAGCAGTGATCAAAACCTAGTGTCTGGCAGAAAGTGTAAGATCAGCTTTAAATAATAGACACCACTTTTCATGATTTAAAATATATAGCCATTATCAGATCAGACTAATATTATTTGACAAACCCTACCCCTGCCTGCTGTTCAGGATGGAGTAAAACACTCAGTCACGCACAGCAGCACAATCGCTCACCGATTCTCTCTGGATCGAACCAAGTCAAACGAGCTGCGATGTTTGGTAGCGATCTATATTTTTATATGATGACAACCCCACTTGTACATGCACACTTGGATCACCGCTGCCTTCGTTTAGCATCAGTGACAGGGCTGCAAGTCTCTCCATCGCTGACAGACAAGAACAATTCTCAGAGCACTGACTGAAGGGAAAGGGAGGGTGGAGAGCTGCTTCCCAGCTCAGCCACACACAGCCGGAGCATAATCTCATTACTGCTGTCCTATTTTGTGTTAGAGGAACGTTCTCCACATGTAACTTTCAGATCCCATTAACCAAAGCAAGTACCAAGGCCCTGATCATCTTGTTGCTGCACAAGGCTCCCAAATTGTGGTTGTGCAGAATCCTGCTGGGATGAGTGCTCTTCCGCTGAGCTGTGCCTGCGGCAGGGAGCCAGCTGGGGAAGGGGCACAGCTGGGCTGCTGGAAGAAATCCTTTGTAACCAGGCGCTGGCGTTCGTCTCTGCGACGGGCAGGGAAGTGTTACGCACACCCCAGAGCACAAGGCTGGGGAGGAGGGAGAGTAAGGAGATTCAAAGAACTGCCAACCAAAAAGAATCCAACTCTTTCGTAAATAAAGAAAGATACTGAGATACCAAGATGAAAGCCAACAGAGGCACTGAAACAGAAGAAATCCTTCTTTCACACAAAGATACAAGATCACTGGTTACCACATGCAGGTACTCCCAGTGTCCAGCACAAAGCCAAGATACTTGTTGACCTGGATAGTGCACTTGATGAATTCAGCATGTCCAGTCCTCACGGGGAGAAAGTGTGAGAGCACAGCAACTTGTATAACGTTAGAAAAGACCATCAAGGTTGGGATGTTGGAAGAGGGAATGCCAGGCTCTCTAGCAGTCTGTTTAGTAATATCTGGCAGGACTTCCACAAAAGGGATTGTGAATCCCAGGACAAACAAGTTGCTTCACAAAATGGGTTGTGAAATGGGTTTGAGAGATGTAAAAAATATTCAACAAGTATCTTCTTACAAGTATTATAGTTGATGATGGGCTATAGACCAGCTTTCTCAGAAAACAGTTTCCCTCATAACATTGACTTATGAGGGAAGACAACAGAATTCACTAGAGCATTTAAATCTCAACAAGGTGGAATGTTAAGTAGCCAAATATCCATGCACATATATAGACATTAAGAGTCTGAAAGATACTCCCTTCTCCAAAGTGCATGGTTATCTCCAGTAGACCACCAGTAAACCTGAGGTTCAGAACGGAAGCATTTCTTTCAGTATAAGACCCAAAACTACTAAGAAAGCACATGGGAAGAAACAAGAAGAATATCTGGGCCACAGGAGGCTTCACAGGATGAAAGTATTTAAATTAAATCGTAAAGGAATGTCTCTCTCCCTTCCAGGCCTCACAATCAGTAACAGAGCCATGGCCCAATCCTTGTTCCCCTGCTCTTATCCCACATGCAAAACTTACCAAATTTTTTCCACTCATCACCAGATTTAACTACAGTTTAAGCTCGTCTGCACCAGGAAAGGCAAAACGCCTTCCCATGTGACGCAAGCTCAGACAGTACACTTCATCCAGGTGTCACCGAGAGCCATGTCCTCCCTCCTGAGAGCCCCTTCTCTGCTACGCTCATTCCTGACAGCTGGAGAAAAAAGGTCAGACGTTCCCTCCAGTCCTCCATCTGCTGGAACTTTAATTAAGTGAAGTGAAATGAAAAAAAGAAAGGGGGGAAAAAAGCCACAACTTTTTTTTTTTTTTTCCGCTTCTGCTATCTGGAAGGATCAAGGAAGCATTTGGTACCAGCAGAGGCTTTGAATACTCTGGGGCAGTATCCAGCTACTCCAAACAATCCTCCCAACCTACTGATACGCTCAAGTCCCGGGGAGCGTAGCAGCACAAAAGCTCTGGCTGTTCATAGTCGGAGACTAGAGACTGCCAGGAAAGCCCAAGCTGCTCTCTGCTGAAACCCTCACCCCACACTGAAACGACCATTAGTTTAGAACCAAACTCGACTCAGTTGATGCTCAGGATTGTTTTTTCTGTTTCTGCAGCACTTGATCTGCAGAGCCTGACCCAAAAACAGATGGAAGAATGCAGCTGAAGAAAAGTTGTTCCTCTACACTTCAAATGTGTTTCAGTGCTTGTCTAAGCCCACCTTTCAGCTTCAAGAGTTGTTGCATGTTTCATTGCAACAAGCTGGGGGACACAAGTGTTATGAAAACCTGCAAGTCCTTCTCACCAAAACGCACAACTCGCCAGCGACCAGTGGAGGTATTTAAAAGAGATGTTGATGTGCTGCTTCGGGCCATGGTTCAGTGGTAGACTTGGCAGTGCTAGGTTAACAGTTGGACTTGATGGTCTTAAAGGTCTTTTCCAACCTAAAGGATTCTATGATTCTATAGTGTCCTGCATCAGACACAGGACTGACGGTTATTAACTCCACAAACATGCAATGAAGTGAGCAAACTCCACTGTCCACAGAGACACCTGCCTTATCTCACTGCACTTTTCAGACCTTCAAAGGGAATTCCTCCTCCACTGGTGGCATAGCAATTCTTATTTCACGTTAACATATTAGGAGCAGAGTTGTATTTTTTCCAATTGTATACAGGGAAAGGGAAGGTAAGTTAGTGTAGGTGGGCAGGGATGATGTAAAGGCAAAGAACGCAAAAAGGAATCAGTATTTGCCAAGCTCAGATTCAGTATCTCTTAGGAAACATGTGGGAGGGAAGATTGAAAAGGAGGTGGGAGAAGGAGGGAGCGTCACTATATGGAAATATTTCCATGAAAATGTGAAAATTTAGTAGATCCTTAGTCATCTTTCCCCCCACCAGCCTATACAAAACATTAATTAAAGCCAGTTATTCCCAAGCATATCTGTCTTGCAGGTGAAGTCTGACCTGTTGTTTTAGCAGAATAGACAGATCTCCATTCATCAAGACCGACCCTGTTTCTCTGGCACCACTAATGCTCCATCCCATCAACTAAGAGTCCTTATGACCACATACAGTACGTAATCACATACGTGTGACAAATGCATGCCAGCATACTGGGCTATATCTCAAATTCACATTTTACATACAGGATTGATAACAAGGTGAATAAAACATAAGGCAAGGGAATTCTCCTGACCCCAAACACGGAAGACGAGACCTGCTAGACGCACAGGGGTAAAGCCTGCAGACAAACCCAGAAAAAAAAAACAGAATAAGTACATGTCACAACTCACTTGCCATTGATGACTCCATCAGGATTAAGCATGGGAACAATCTTGAAAATGAAACATTTCCGCAGGAGATCAGCAATGGGATCACTGCTCACAAGGAACTCCAGGGTCCCCTTCATTACCCAGCTAGCATTGCTTTCACCAGGGTGAACACGGGCCATTAGAAACACATACGGACGATTGTCTGTAAAACAAAGCAAAAAAAAAAAACCTAGACAGGACTTATCATTGAATAACATCTTTGCAAGCAGGTTTTGTTTCGTTTTAACCAAGATAACAACCCAAGACATGTTTTAGGGAAAATACATCCCTAAATAGTACAGGCATTTCCTGAAGGCACTAATTGCCAGTTGATCCAAGGTTTAGTTCTCAGAACCAGCATTTACTAGTTTCATGCCTATCCCTTTGCTTGTTTATTCTACGATACCTTAACAGATATTTATGTGTACCATTAGAGGGCATTTTGTGTGCGCAGGTTGCTGCCTCTCAAAATGGCACCAGCATACTTTCTGGCATTTCTTGAAAGCTTGACCCCATCAAAATTCACTAAGGTTTAAAAGGCAGCTAGTAATTATTTAATTTTCCAAGGTCCTTGCTCCACTTTCAGTATTCCACCATTAACAATTGAGAACTTTCCAGATCTCTAAGCAGATCTGTCCACCTGCAAGCTGTCTGATCTTTGGCAGTAACCTGTGTTATAGGGCTAGAGTCATAACTAATCGAGTTAAACTGATATAATATGTTACCTGAGTAAGCTGCAGAGGAGGAGTACTCAAAACTAACCACCATTTCATATCCATCCAACAAAAGGCAGAAATAACAATATTCACAGCTAAAGCAGGCTGTTACTTTTGGTGGAGATAGTTGTCAGTTTTATATAATATAGACTTACACTGATTTGCAGAGCTGATTCTCAGAATTTGCGACTAGAATAGTTCAGCTGTTTCTAGCACTACGTTTGGCGTAAGAGACATAAGCTGTGGAAACTTCGGGGAAGGGAAAGGGTTCGAGAAGTTGCTTTTTAAATAAAAATAATCAATGAACTGTTTAGTAAGATTTGATAAGCTCTACTCAACCTGTTTTGAAGTAGACTTACAACTTAACAGAGAAAGTTTCCTTATTATCAGATATGTTATTTGCTGTTCCTGTGAAAAAGCACCCACATTTGGTCTAGTTATAAGTCTCCAAAAACTCTCTGTATACATATGCTTAGAAAAGACCAAGTTTGACAGCAGATTCTTTGAAGATCCCATCTGTGCGGAGAGTACTCCATGAATGGGCCAAGGAAACAGGAGAAGGCAGAGGCAGAAAATAAAGGATAAAGCAATTATCTATCTTAAAATGATCCTTTTGTGAGCATTCACAATCTCAGGCCGTTGTCAAAAGTCAGTCTGACAGATTTACTTTAGTGGAAACCACGGTCTGTCAGGGCATCACAACGATGCCAGGATAAGTCTGTCCTGCTCTATCAGGCAACGTCAGAGCTCAGGCTCTGCTCCCTTGAGTGAATTGAGGGACCTCAACTGACAGATCTGGGAGTGGTAACAGGACAGAAACCAAAACCAAACACATCCACTTAGTGCCCTTGCAATCAAATGCTGAATTAGCAAGTTATACGTGTCGCCTTTAGCTCCCAAAGCTGTCCTTCAGTTTCCAAACGTTTTACAAATCATTAATCAATTAACGTGAAACAGGGAAGTAGAACATCATACTCAAAAATACACATATTAGTCAAGAGCTGTTTAGCAATTTGTCTGACAGAGCAAAGGCTGTGTCAGAGCTGAGAATACAAGTGAAATTTCTCATTTCACAGTCAAACAAGGGACAAGCGATAATTCTTCTCCTTAACTGTATATTCTGTACAGTTCTGCTCTATATGTAAATTACAGTACAATTTAGTTACATCTTTCAGGGATGCAAGCTCAGATTTGGAAACAATTTCCCCTCCACACCTCCTAGCTTCCATGCCTTCCTCTTAAGCAGCTGGTGGGCACTAGAAGAGAGAACTGCACTCTCAGCTCAAAGAGCTCATGCAGAGCAATCATGTTCTGGTCCAGTAAAGCAACTGGAACCCTGTTTCTCAATAGCCATTTATTAGTCTTTCATGATTCTTACACCTTACCTTACTATGAGGTTAGTATATTTTGACCCACGTGTATACATAAGTGCCTAGGGCACTTACGGATTGCAAAAGATCCCCTTTAGCCCCTGCAGAACTACTAGCCATTCTGATTATTTTTCCCCAAAAATTATAGCACACAATTTCCATTCTGCTCCAGCTAGTTGTGCATTACAATCTACCTCAGTAATGCTTTAAAATAGCAACAAGCAGAAACCAGCTTTTACAAAGACATCAGCTGCATTTTGCCATTTCCAAACATTTTCTCCTTTCTCCCATCACCATGATTTAGTGGTGTTTTGCAGGCTCATTGCTGAGCTATACTTATGGGACTGTGCTGTTGTAGCTTAGAATGAGGCTCTTGAGGGCTCCTAATGGACAACAGCTGTAAATAGCACAAAGCAAAATAAAACGTGTTCTCTTCTGCAATTGATGAATACAGCTTTAACAACTCTTATCTCTTCTGTACTTTCTCCCATCACCATGATTTAGTGGTGTTTTGCAGGCTCATTGCTGAGCTATACTTATGGGACTGTGCTGTTGTAGCTTAGAATGAGGCTCTTGAGGGCTCCTAATGGACAACAGCTGTAAATAGCACAAAGCAAAATAAAACGTGTTCTCTTCTGCAATTGATGAATACAGCTTTAACAACTCTTATCTCTTCTGTATATCGGAGAAAGAAACTTAAGCAAGGGCTTTCTCATCTCGGAAAGTTTGCATGATTCTGCTAATTGCAAATATCATGGGACTGGCAGAGATCCGAATTCTGTTTTTCCTCTCAAGACTGATCAAAGTCAAGTTTGTCTCACTTAAGTTCAATGTCACAAAAGCTCCTGGAGTTTCCAGATCTTAAAACCCAGGAAATGGGAGGAGTGAGAGGAGGGAAGAGACCAAACAGAGATCATCTACGCTGCTTCCCTGTGGGTGACACCAGAGGGGCCCACAGCCTGTAGGTTCAGCTGAGGAAGTCTCTATTCCAGTTAAAGCTTCCTTTAGAAGCTCCCCTCCTGACAAGCACATCCACAGCTCTGACATCTCATCCACAAGAGAGTCATAACAAAGGTATGTACCAGCAGGCAAACTGCAGAGCTTGTTATGTGCCTGTTCGCTTCATGGAAGCCATCACAGCCAAATCCCGTGTCCAAGTGCTGCGCTCCCCCAGCCTACACCCAGCATGAAGAGTAATTAAGCAGCAAATAGAGTAAAGATCTGACAACATGGCCATAAAACTTGCTACACTTGAAACGCTTGGGAAACAAAGATTTAACTCTGTGGCAGGCAGAAGTCACTCAGTCCCATACTTTACAGCATATCCAGTTACTTATCTGTCTTGAAATTATTTTGATAACTGTGATAAACATTAGAAAGTAGCTCATGAAAGTAGCGGAGAGCAGCACTGGCCAGCCATACTCAGCACTCCAACTGGCAGACACCAGTTGACATTTCTGCACTCAGTTCAGCTGTTTCACTTCTTTCTGGACTTCCAACACCCCCATGACTGCAGTCCTGACCAGCCCACCACAGTGCTACCCAGCAGAACTTACTGGTTCACACTGGTGCCTGACTGATGTTCCTCTGTGCTGTTTTAGAGCCCCTCACTGGCACCTTCCTGTGCCCCACCAAACCTGTGATCAGGACACACAACCACAAGTTCTCTCATATGCATCCTTCAAGGTCCAGGACTGAGCTTAAGTCTTCGAAATCCTCTGGCCAACACTTCAAAAAAATCCTCCCCAAGTTCTGGGGAAGCTGCCAGAATGCTCAGGTTAGCCATTTATCTCTGCAAAGCCCACATGACACATAACCTTCTCTGGGAATGTAAATAATAAAAAGAGAAAGAAAAGAGAAAGCAGAGGAACCTTTTCATGCTACATAAAGCCTTATCCAACAGATCATGTCTCGTTACACTGTGTTACATTTCAACATGCCCAGAATATAATGTGGCACCAACAATACTCGAGGTGAGAGATTAAAGCGTCACTGATTCCTCTTGCAAAGCCCCTTTGAGTAATAATTCTACTAATATATCACTTACTTCCCATCTCCCCTTATCTTCATTAATTTTGACTGTGGATATATGCATGAAAATACAAGCTTTGTTCTTCCACTACTGCTAACTTGCTGCTTAATCTCCTGCCTGTTATAAGGATCCTCCTCTAGTCACGTCATCACCAAGGTTCACCAAGAGGTGACTTTGATGTCACTAATCGTGACATCAGTTGGGGAAAGAGCAGCCTGAAAGAAACGAACAAAACTCCATTAACACAGCAGTGTCCCTCATCAAAAGGGGCACAGAAAGGAAATGAAATGCAGTTCCAGATGCCCTGACCTGGGCTGATGTTCTGTATTATTTCAAGCTGAGATTTGAGCTGTGCCATTTGTAAAGGGACAGGGCATTGAAACAACACAGGGCTAGGATTTTATAAGGAGTCAAAGGGAATTATATACACAGCATGTGAAAAATTCAACTTAGATCCAGGTCTTGACTAGAATTTTTCTGGCTGTGCTTCTGCATACCTCTCTTCCCTTTACCCCAAGCCCAGGGCCATTTTTTTCCCTTATGTCTAAATACAGTACGACTTTATCATGAGCATTACACAAATCAAAGGGTCAAATTTACCCCAGGACATAGTAAACAGAAACCAAGAAAGCTAAACTCTCCCTCCCAACTTAATTAGCCGTGGCCACTACAGGGTATTCTGGGAGTCAAATGCTGGGTAAACAGGAGCACCATCGCATAGCTCTTCCACGCATGCCACGGCTGCATCCTGTCCTGGATACATCAGATATGCCCAAGGCTGCATAGTTACACAAAGCCAGAGAGAAGACAGGATATAGTGTGATGTACAACGAATATATTAAAGCATGTTTGTATAAAGCATCAAATACCAAGATCACAGGAAACACGAGACTGATCTGAGGCAGAATCCGTGTCAGCCACTTCACTCCCCTCCTAAAACTTTTCCTCTAGTTGTCAGTCTTTCGGTTGCCTTAAGACAGAATGATTCTTTCCTCCCCGTCTCCTCCCACCCCAAAATTGTTGTCTCCTTGCTGACCCTGCTTTT